AAGATACGCGTTAAATATCGCATGCGATTAATCGTGCAGCCCTAGTTCACATGATTCATTCAAAACACGGATTCATTCAGAAACTAAACACCGCTATGTTGCTCACAGACGCACAACAGTTCTGCAGTGGCTTTATAGGTAATATTTTCTTTGGCAAAATGGAGCAAAACACACAATATTGTGTTTAAAATATAACACAATATTTACATCTTATTTATTGAACTGCTGTATGAAATCACTTTTGCACTCGTGCTATTCAGACATAAACAGCACTCGTGTGATATTGCTCTCGCTACTCATGTGATATCGTTTATCATGTGATATAAATATGAGACAAAAACTCATACAGGGGCATTTTTTTTGCCCCAATATCTCGAATTTTAGGACATTTTTTTTTTTTATTTGTCAACAGTCAAGTGTATGAAATGTAAGATGTAATTGTAAGACGTACAGGTCTGGGGGCGGGGCCAGTGCATTAACTGCGTTCAAATATTTTAATTGTGTTATTTTTTTAATTGTGTTATTTAAACTAATTAACGTGTTAAACTGACAGCCCTAATATATATATATATATATATTAGGCGCGCAGATACCAAATCTTCAATAGTTTAAATAACACAATTAAAAAAATAACACAATTAAAATATTTGAACGCAGTTAATGCACTGGCCCCGCCCCCAGACCTGTACGTCTTACAATTACATCTTACATTTCATACACTTGACTGTTGACAAATAAAAAAAAAAAATGTCCTAAAATTCGAGATATTGGGGCAAAAAAAATGCCCCTGTATGAGTTTTTGTCTCATATTTATATCACATGATAAACGATATCACATGAGTAGCGAGAGCAATATCACACGAGTGCTGTTTATGTCTGAATAGCACGAGTGCAAAAGTGATTTCATACAGCAGTTCAATAAATAAGATGTAAATATCAGATAGGTCCTTCAGGGTATCTTGGAGAGGTGAGGTGTCCAAGTCACAACATCTACAGCCCTGAGGCACAACTGGGGTGCCTCAGGGCTCAGTTCTTGGACCACTTCTCTTCTCTGTCTACATGGCATCACTAGGTTCTGTCATTCAGAAACATGGCTTTTCATACCACTGCTATGCTGATGACACTCAACTCTACCTCTCATTCCATCCTGATGATCCGACGATAGCTGCTCGCATCTCAGCTTGTCTAACAGATATTTCTTGCTGGATGAAGGACCATCACCTTCAACTCAACCTTGCCAAGACAATTGCTTGTGGTTCCATCAAACCCATTGTTTCATCACAGTTTCACCATCCAGTTAGGCACATCAACCATAACTTATTCAGCCAGAAACCTTGGAGTTATGATTGATGATCAGCTGACTTTTTCAGACCACATTGCTAAAACTGCCCAGTCCTGCAGATTTGCCAAAAAAAATGCACGTCACACCTCTATTTATCAATTTGCACTGGCTACCAATAGCTGCTCACAAAATTCAAGGCATTAATGTTTGCCTACAAAACCACCACTGCCTTTGCACCCCTATACCTAAATTAATTACTTCAGGCTTATGTGCCCTCTAGAAGCTTACCTTCTACAAGTGAACGTCGCTTTATTGTGCCACCCCAAAGAGGCACAAAATCACTTTCACTGACTTTTAAATGAAATGTTCCCTCCTGGTGGAATGACCTGCCCAACTCAATCCGAGCAGCTTCTGGAGCCAGTAATCACAAAGTAAACAAACTTTTAAACAACAGAGTAAACCATTCAGTGCTTAACACTGCTAGTAGAATTCCCCTAAAATGCCTAGTGAGAAGAAATACAACATCATTTTGAGATAAACACCTAAACATCTAAATCCAGCTGTTTTATATAACATATAGTGCTTTGAATTAAAATCATGCATCTCACAATGTCATTTTGTATGATTATTAAAACATGTTGGAGAAAGAGACCGATTATTATTATTATTATTATTATTATTTATATATTTATATATACTAAAAATATTAAACAAATTAAGAAATACTGCTTTTGTAACATTTCCATCTAAAATAAAAAATGAGTATTTAGGAAAGATAATAATTATTGATGTTACATGCAGAGATGAGTTTGTGAGGAGCAGCATTTACTGCTCTGAGACACTGAAAACATTGGATCATGAGCTGTTTGCGTGTAAAAGAAATAAAAACTGTCCATGCTTCATTCTGAAACACGCAGTGCATATATTTATTTAATTAAACTGCAGTCTTTGTTATGTGATAATCGTACTTGGCTATATAATAATTTCATTTTGAATAGTTTAGCTACTGTAAATTGTGAGTAGTTTGAAGCTTGACTTGATTTCATTTCCTGATACTGGTCCTTACCAACAGCTTCATGTCATAGTTGACAATTCCTAAAATGTACCAATTTATCATAAGTTGTGTAATAACAGTGTCTTGACTCCAGATGAGTGTGATGGTGGGATGACTGTCTTGTTTGATTGCAGTAAGATCAAGGTCATCTAGGCCAAGGCATCCTCAACTCTTCACTCCATCCAACGAACTCAATCTCCCTCTATCAGCCGGCATCTCAACACACCTTTATCACTCTTCCATCATGCACATACTCTCCTTTGAAGCATTACCTTTTTCTATTGATTCTTGTTGTGAATTTAAGTACTTCCGTGGTTCAAGAAAATAGAAATGTTATAATTGTTTCTTTGTGTGTGTGAGCTTGTGTGCTCAGGTGTGTGGCCGGCACAGTGGAGGGTGCGGGACATGGGGCCCCGCTGGGCAAAACACAGCCTTTTTATCACAGGAATGAGCTAGTACTATTTTAATTAAAATGTCAGAACAAATACTGGCAGAGGTCTTGAGGATGAATCGCTAGATAAGAAGAGCAGTGGGCCAGAACAGGTCAGAGAGACAAAGTCACCTGGGTAGATCTTCATTAATCCCCATG